GATGATTGTGAATTACGCATAAAACAGCCCATCTGATTGGTCTATTTATGAATGGATGTTACAAAGGCACAATCAGTAGACCAATGTCCACGAGTTGGTCTTAAGCAAAGTTAAGTAGTTGGCTTGTATTGATAATTTGATCCTTGGCTTCATGTTTTAACTTCCTTCATTTGGGGCTCCTAGCAAAATTAAAGTTGATAATCCAAAAATGAGACATGGAAATGAAAAAGAAGCACGAGAAGAATTTATCATTGGGGCAAATTAAATAATTCTGCCTTGATGTACTGTCACCTCTTTATGAAGAGAATAGCCATCAATTATATGGAAATAACCATTTGAGGAGAATGAAAAAGGCAACACGGGCAAATTAATGAGTCATTGTTGTGAATATTTACACTTATGTGATTTCTACCTTTTCTCCTACCAATACTTTCCCATAAAAATTGGAGAGGAGATAGGAAACAAAAAAGTCATACCTACGGTAAATTATTGCTTTTGCTGCTCATGCTACCACCCCTCAAACACTGCTATCCCTCCAGCTGCAGGACGGCTCGGCCGCTCTGGCAGGCCATAGGTGATTAGCGGGGTTAATCAGAATTCTGAAGGGCACAAATAGCAATAAGAATGTAATAGGATTGTACTTTGTGCTACTCAGATCAGATGAACTGTCACCTTAACTTACTATGAATGATGTGATCAGACTGTTTAATTCCCCCTTCCCTGTTTCAAACTTGTCTCCATGCTATATGGTGCGTTTCAATTTTATGTTCTTTACTGCAAGGGGAGAAAGAAAGTCTTTCCAGATCTTAACAATACAAATAGTTGTCCTTTCCTCTTATGAAGGAGAGAAATTTTTGACCTGGAATAACTGTCATTTTTTAAGAGCAATATATCCAGAGTGGAACATGGTCACTTTCTTGCTAAAGACACCTTGCCTTTATTAGGAAAATGGAAATCATATGGATTACAATCAAGAACCTAAAAGTCGGAGAGTGATGTCAGTTAGACAGTGTGGTGGGATAGGAGTGTTCTGCTGTCATCTTTCCACAGAAGCATTGATATTGACAACATCCCACAGATGGGAGGACCTTTGTGGGAATCTGAGTGTCTAGTGGAGACATTCTACCACACCGTTGGAGTAAAAATCCAAGAATATATACGTTGAAGAGAGTAAGAAGAACAGCTTCACTTTACCCACACCACCCCGCCTGCAAGGCAGCACAGCTCAGTGCCACAAGAGATGTCCTCAGCCTATGATCTCTCCCATGGGAGAAACTAAGAGTCTAGTGAGTAAGCACCTGCTCTTCCAGCCATTCAAGACACCGTCTAAGAGGCTCACTTCTTTCTCACCCAGCTCAGACTACTGAGGTGATCAGTATAGCTGAGTGGCTGAGGTAGGCTGGGAGCAGGGAAGAGAGGCAGTGGGGGACTCGCCGAAACTAGGGATTGGAACTCAACAAGAGCCATGGATTGTGATTGTACTTACTGCTTCATGGACTTCATCAGGAAAGCTACCCATCAGCTGCTTGGGATGCCTCAGCTGTAGACCAGCCCAACTGGCCCATGGGCACCCCCAATGCTCCATGTGCATCACTACCCACCACCATGGCTGGTTCCCCACATGTACTCCCACAGATAGTGAGTGCAAGCCACTGTAGATGGCATGCACAGACAGATAGCCCAACTCCACGGGATTCAGAGAAAGCACACAAATTTGAGCATTTCAGGCACCACTCTAGGGAGAACAATCAGGAGGCTGTCAGCATTTGGCCTGGCTTCATGGAATTGATAGCAGACATACAATCTTAAGACTTCCCCCGAAGAGGAAGCAAGACAGATGGCATGGGAGCAACCATTCTGAGAGAGCCTCAGAATCACTAGTAGAGCTGACTGGGAAAGTTGTATCCTGAAGTCATTCTGTAAAGACTTCACATCTTCAAGTGCAAAGACAGCAACTCTTCAAGAATATGAAGATTCATGGGCCGGCCCCATGGCGCGCTCGGGAGAGTGCGGCACTGGGAGCGCAGCAACGCTCCCGCCATGGGTTCAGATCCTATATAGGAATGGCCAGTGCACTCACTGGCTGAGCATGGTGAGAGCGACACCACACCAAGGGTTGCGATCCCCTTACCAGTCATGGAAAAAGACAAAAAAAAAAAAAAAAGAATATGAAGATTCGTGGAAATGTGACACCACCAAAGAAATGCAATAATATTTCAGTAAACAATCCCCCAAAATAAAGACCCATGAATTGCCTGACAAAGAATTCAAAATAGTTGTTTTAAGGGAGCACAGCAAGCTACAAGAGAACACAAAAAACTCAATGAAATTAAGAAAACAATACATGAACAAAACAAGTTCAACAGAGACAGAAATAAAAATAAAACAAACAAAAGACATTGGTCAGAGGATACAAAGTAGCAGATACATAAGATGAACAAGTCTATATATCTTATGTACAACATGAGAACTATAGGTATTAAAATTGTACTGTATGTGGCATTCATGCTGAATGGACAGATTTCACACACACAAAAATGGGTAACTACATGAGATGATGCATATATTAATTTGCTTCATCATAGAGACCTTTTTACTATCTATATGTATCCCATAACATCATGTTGTATACCTTAAATATACATGATAAGTTTTATTAAAAAAAAAAAAAAAAAAAAAAAAAAAAAAAAAAAAAAAAAAAAAAAAAAAAAAAAAAAAAAACGGCAATTCTGGAGCTGAAGAATGCAATGAATTAAATGAATGCAATAGAGAACATCGACAATGGACTTGATCAACCTGAAGAAAGAATATGTGAACTCAAAGACAGATCATTTGAAATTATTGAATCAGGGGAGAAAAGAAAAAAATATGAAAAGGAATGAGGAAATCCTGCAGGATATGTAGGACACCATCAAGAACACTAATATACAGATTAAGTTGGTACAGGAAGGAGAAGAGGGAAAAAGGGGAAGAAAGCTTATTTAAAGAAATAATGGCTAGAAACTTCCCAAATCGGAAGAGACACATGAGCATCCAAGTATATGAAGCTCAAAAATTTCCAAATGGATTTAACTCTAAGAGAACTTTACCAAGACACATTATTACCAAACTTTGTCAAAAATCAGACAGGTAATTTTGAAAGCAGTAAGAAAAGAGACTTGTCCTGATTTTAAATTATATTACAAAGTTATAGTAGTCAAAACAGTATGGTACTGGCATAAAAACAGACATATAGACCAATGGAACAGAATAGAGAGCCCAGAAATAAACTCATGCATATATGGTTAACTAATCTTCAACAAAAGCACCAAGAACACACAATGGGGAAAGGACAATCTTTTCAATAATTAGTGTTGGAAAAACTCAAGGGTTCAGATCCCCATATTGGCCAGCTGCAAAAAAAAGAAAAAAGGTAAAAAAAAGACAAGAAAGAAAGAAAAAAATTGGACCCTTATCTTACATCATACATTAATGTCAACTCAAAATAGATAAAATACTTAAATATAAGATGTAAAACCTCAAAACTCCTAGAAAAAAACATGGGGGAAAGTTTCTTCACATTGGTCTTGACAATGATTTTTTTGATACAATATAAATAGCACAGAAAATTGAAGCAAAAATAAACAAGTGGGACTACAACAGACTAAAAAGTTTTTGCCCAGAAAGAAAGCAAACAATAAAATGAAAAGACAATCTATAGAATAGAGGGAAATATTTGCGAACCATATCTCTGATATTGGGTTAATATCCAAAATATATAAGGAATCCGTACAACTCAGTAGCAAAAAAAACAACCTGATAAAAAAAATGAGCAAAGGGCATGGCCGGTGTGCTCACTGGCTGAGCAGGGTGTGGACCACACCATGCTGAGGGTTGCAATCCCCTTACTGGTCAAAAAAAAATGGGCAAAGGACTTGAACAGACATTTTTCCAAAGAATACATATGAACAGCCAACAAGTACATAAAAAGGCGCTCAACATCACTAATCGTTAGAAAAAATGCAAATCAAAACCACAATGATACATCACACAAACCTGTTAGGATGACTATTATCAAAAAGTTGAAAGATTAACAAGTGTTGGTGAAGATGTGGTGAACAGGGAACTCTTATGCACTGTTGGTGGGAATGTAAAATGGTACAATCATTACAGAAAACAGTATGGAATTTTCTCAGAAAATTAAAAATAAAATTACTATATGATCAGCAATCTCACTTCTGGGTATATATCCAAAGGAAATAAAATCACTGTCTTGATATCTGCATATGCAAATTTGAGCATTTCACCATTATTCATAATAGTCAAGATATGGAAACAATCTAAGTGTTCATTGATGAATGAATGGATGAAGAAAATGTGTTATATACATATGATGGAATATTGTTCAGCTTAAAAAAGAAGAAAATATTGCCATTTGTGACAACATGGATGAACCTGAAGGATGTTATACTAAGGGAAAGTAGCCAGGCAAAAAAAAAAAAAAAAAAAAGACAGATACTGCATGATCTCACTTATATATGGCATCTAAAAAAGTCAAAGTTATAGAAACAGACAATAGAATGCTGGTTACCAGGGGCTCTGGGGTGATGGAAATGGGGAGATGTTCGCCAAAAGGTACAAACTTTCAGTTATAAGATGAATAAGTTCTGGAGACCTAATACACAGCATAGTGACTATGGTCAACAAAAATACTTTTTATACTTGAAATTTGCTCAGAGAGTGCATCTCAAGTGTTTTCATCACACACACACACACACACACACACACACACACACAGAGTAACTACGTGAGGTGATTGATATGTTAATCAGCTTAATTGTGGTACTCACATCACAACGTATACATATATCAAAACATCATGTTGTAAAACTTTAATATATACAATTTGTATTTGTCAATCAGACTTCACTGAAGCTAGAAAAAAAAAAAAAAACACTAAAAGTTAGAAATACAACAATCTTGGCAAAGGGCTATGCAAAGACAAACTGACCATGTTGCACTTACCTTTAACATCTGTAGTCTCTTGACTACCAGCCTGGTAGAGCAGAGAATTGAAGGCAGAGCTGTTTGGCAATGACATCCTAAGAAAGCAAGTAGAAGAAACAAGTTTGTAAGTTTATAACTTTATGAGTTTATAAATCACATGCAGCCTATGCACTTATCTTTTCAGTTAATTTCTTAAACTTTCGCTGCTTCTCTTCCCCTCTTTCCACACTCCCAATCATAAAGCCACACTCCCATTAAATCAACACAAGTTGGATTTTCTCACTGTCTTTAGTGATTTATTCTCTAATTTGTCATAAAAGGGTAAAATTTTCAACTTCTGTGCATAAAAATTTCAAACATTAAGTTTATAATTATTTCAACAGGATTTATGAGTGTTTCTCTAGGGAGTTGTTTTCAAAATAAGATAAGTGCTATGAACAGAATAGAGAAGATTATAATAATTATGCTGGTTTTCAAATAAAATTTAAAACTTAATAGCAGTCTAGAGACCATCATTGCTCTCAAGGACTATCAAGGAGATGGGAGTAGTCAAGTTACAATGCACAGATCCTACTGTTCTTGCCTAGGTTCTGCAGTTTTCCTTGAATACATTCCTCAGATTTTTGCAACACCTGTGGTTAATTCCCAGAGTTTTGAAAAAGTTGATTTTGACAATTTTTGCAAGGGGTGGATATACAGAATTACACTGAGGGGTGGATATCTCTGCATTCTAAAAGACCTGCTCCCCACAAATGTATTTAAAAATTATTATTGTGATAAAATGTACATAAAAGAAAATTTACCATTTTAGTCATTGTTAAGTGTACAATTCAGTGACAGTAAAAACATTCACAATGTTGTACAACCATCACTATCACCTATCTCCAGAACTTTTTCATCAACCCAAACAGAAACTCTGTATCCATTAAACAATAATTCCCCGTATCCCACTCCTCCAAGCCCCTGGTAACCTCTATTCTACTTTTTTATCTCTATGAATTTGCCTAATCTATGGACCTCATATAAGTAGAATGATACAAAATTTGTCCTTCTGTGTCTGGCTTCTTTCACTTAGCATAAAGCTTTCGAGGTTTACCCATGTTGTAGCATGTATCAGAATTTCATCCCCAGGCTGAATCATATTCCATTGTATGTATATACCACATTTTGTTTATCCATTCATCTGTCAGTGGACATTTGGATTGTTTTCACATTTTGGTTACTGCTTTCACAAGTCTTATATATCATATTTTATTTATTATTCAATCTAAATTTTTTTAGATTTTCACTTTGATTTTATTTTAACCCATGGGTTATACGAGAATGTATTGTTAAATTCTTTAATATTTGGATATTTTCTAGGGTTTTTTTTGTCATTGATTTCACTTTTTTTTTTTTTTTTTCCTTTTTGTCTTTTTTCGTGACCGGCAACGGATCGCAACCCTCAGTGTCGCGCCCGTACCGGACCGGGACCAGCCACGGGATCGCAACCCTTGGTGTCGCTCCCGCACCTCACTCAGCCAGTGAGCGGCCGGTCTGTATGTGGGATCCGAACCCTCAGCGGGAACGCCGCCGTGCTTCCGAAGTGGCGCACTGCAGCAGTGCACCACCGGGCCGGCCTGATTTCACTTTTTAATGGCACGACATATAGTCAGTTTTTGAAAATATTACATGTACTCTCGAAAAGAATGTATGTGTACATTCTGCTGTTGGTTGGTACAGTACTCTAGGTATGTCAATTAAATTTGCTGTGTCCTTACTAATTATTTGCTTGTTCCATCAATTACTGAGAGAGGTGTGTTAAAATGTTTAATTATGATTGTGGATTTGCTTATTTCTCCTTTTAGCTCTTTCAGTTTTACCTCGTAAGCTTGGAGACTATGTTATTAGATGCACATAAATTTTGGATTGTAATTTCCTCCTATTCAGTTGACTTTTCTACTGTTATAAAATGTCTCTCTTTAATCCTAATATTTCCCGCCTTTTGAACACCCAATCTAAAGAAGCTCTCCTCTCTACCTTCTCCCGCTTTTGCCCCAATTTTTTTGAGTTTTTTTTTTTTTTTAAAGAGCAATTTCAGGGTCACAGCAAAATTAAGAGAGAGGTTCAGGGATTCCCCATATACCCATTGTCTTCACATAATAATAGTCTTCTCATAATCAACATTCCCTCACCATAGTGGTACTTTTGTTACAACTGATGAATCAATATTGACACATCGATTATCACCCAAAGTTCATAGTTGACATTAGAGTTCACTCTTGATAGGTGTGTAGTAGTTTAATTTGCATTTCCCTGATAACATCTGTCCTGAAGCATCTTTTTATATGCTTATTTGCCATTTGTATATCTCTTTTGGTAAGGTGTCTGTTAAAAATTGGTCCTTGTCCCAATTTTTAATTGGGTTGTTTGTTTTCTTATTCTTGGGTTTTAAGAGTTCTTTATATATTTTGAATAACAATCTTTATCAAATGTGCATTTTGCAATCTTTTCTCCCTGTGTCTTTTGACATAGTCTTACTCAGAGCAGAAGTATTTAATTTTAATGAAGTCCAACTTATGAATTATTTCTTTCATGAATCATGCCTTTGGTGTTGTATGTAAAAAGTGATCATCATACTCAAGGTCATCTAAGTTTTCTCCTAGGAGTTTTATAGTTTTGCATTTTACATGTAGGTGTATGATCCATTTTGAGTTAACTTTTGTAAATGGTTTATGCCTAGATTCATTTTTATGCATGTGGATGTCTAGTTTTTCCAGCACCATTTATTGAAAAGACTATATTTGCTATATTGTACTGCCCTTGCTCCTTTGTCAAAGATTAGTTGACTATTTCTATGTGGGTCTATTTCTGGGCTCTCTGTTCTGTTCCATTGATCTATTTGCCTAGGCTTTTGCCAATACCACACTGTCTTGATTATTGAAGCTTTATAGTAAGTATTGAAGTTAACTAGTGTCAGTCCTCCAACTTTGTTGTTCTTCAATATAGTGTTGGCTATTTTTGGTCTTTTGCCTACAAACTTTGGAATGGCAGAATTCTATAGTTTGAATGTTCGCCCAAAACTGACACTGAAACTTAATCCCCAGTGTGGTGGTATTGAGAGGTGGGGCCTTTGGGAGGTGATTGGATTGTGAGGACTATGTCCTCATGAGTGGATTAATTAATTCACAGATTAATGGCTTAATGGATGAATGGTTTATCATGGGAGTGGTACTGATGGCTTTATAAGAGGAGCAAATGAGTATGTTAGCATGCTCTTGCTTCCTTGCCTTATGATACCCTGTGCTGCCTCAGGACTCTGCAGAGAGTCTCTCACCAGAGAGTCGTTGCCAGATGTGCCCCCTGGACCTTTGACTTCCCAGCCTCCAAAACTATAAGAAATAAATAAATTGTTTCTTTATAAATTACTCAGTTTCAGGTATTCTGCTAAAAATGACAGAAAACAGACTAATACAGAAAATTTGTTGATACCCACAAACTAACTTGCTAAGATTTTGATTAGGATTTCATTGAATTTATAGACTAAGTTTGGAAGAACTGACATTTTGACAATATTGAGTTGTCTTCTCCATGAACGTGGAACATCTCTCCATTTGTTTATTTCCTCAATTTCTTTTATCAGAGTTTTGTAGTTTTCTTCATATAGATCTTGTACATATTTGTTAGATTATACCCTAGTATTTCATTTTGGGGGGTGCTTATGTGAATGGTATTGTGTTTTTTATCCCAAATTCCACTTGTTCATTGCTCATATATAGGAAAGCAATTGACTTTGTATATTAACCTTGTATTCTGCAATTTTGCTGTAATCACTTAGTTCCAGAAGTTTTTTGGCTAAATTTTTTTTTTTTTTTTTTTTTTTTGGCCTTTAGATTTTTTGTCTTTAGATTTTCTACATAGGGCGGCTGGCGCACTCGGGAGAGTGCAGCGCTGGGAGTGCAGCGGCGCTCCCACCGCGGGTTCGGATCCTATATAGGGATGGCCAGTGCACTCATTGGCTGAGTGCGATGCGGGCAACACCGTACCAAGGGTTGAGATCCCCTTACCGGTCACGAAAAAGACAAAAAAATAAATAAATAAATAAATAAAAATAAAGATTTTCTACATAGATTATTATATTATCTGCAAAGACAGTTTTATTTCTCCCTTTCTAATCTGTATAGTTTCTTTCCATTTCTTGTCTTATTGAATTAGTGGGGCTCTTTTCTTTTTTAAAAAATTAATTTTAGAACACTTTGATTAACAGAAGTATTATAAATACAGTACATAGAGTTGTCATATACCCCATATCCAGTGTCCCCTACTATTAGCATATTACTATTTTATATTTGTGACAATTAATAAACCAATGTTGACACATTTTAACTACAGCCTATACTTTATTTAGATTTCCTCAGTTTTCCCCTAATGTCCTTTTTCTGTCCCAGGATCTCTTCCAGGATACAACATTACTTCTAGTAGTCATGTCTCATTAGGCTCCTCATAGAAGTGACAGTTTCTCAAACTGTCCTCTTCTTCACAACCTCGACAATGTTGAGGATTAATAGTCAGTTGTTTTGTGAGATGTCCCTCAATTGGCACTTCTCTGATATTTGTCTCATGATTAGATGAGGGCAATGTGTTTGGGCAGGAAGACCACAAAAGTAAACTTCCATTCTCATCACATCATATCAAGGATGTAAATATGGTTTATCATTTTCAATATTAACCTTAATCATCTGGCTTGAGGTAGTATTTGTCAGGTTTCTCCACTGTAAAGGTACTTTTTTTCCTTTCCATAGTTATTGGAAGAAAGTCACTATGCACAGCTCACACTTAACGTGTAGTGAGTTAGGCTTCACCGCCTTGAGCGTGAAGAGACTGATCCTTTCTCCCCTATTAATGTATTTACACCAGAATAGATTCATACATATTTTTCCTTTCCATAGTTATTGGAAGAAAGTCACTATGCACAGCTCACACTTAACGTGTAGTGAGTTAGGCTTCACCGCCTTGACCGTGAAGAGACTGATCCTTTCTCCCCTATTAATGTATTTACACCAGAATAGATTCATACATACATACATTGGGTTATAATGCAATACTACTTTATTTTGTTGTTCAAATTTTTTCAGCTTTGACCATTGGGAGCTCTTTCAGTTGGCTCCATTGTTTTCTGTTTTGTTTTGGCTTGATTTTGGTTTCTGTTTATTTGCGGGGAGAGTTGTGGCACTTTTGTACTTTCTGGTACTACAAAATGCTCCAGGCTCATTTTGTATATCTCCTACCCCAGTCTGAAAATCAGCTATTTCTCCAAGGAACCCTGGTTTCTTTTACTGGAGAATAGTATTAGAAACCAAAATCTGGGCACCAGGTCTGCTATTTGTTAGAATGTTTTGCTTCTAGGCCCTCTTTCCTGACAATGCGTATTGATATGGGCTAAGCATAGTGACTTTCTCCCAAAGAACAAGGAAATATATGTGTGCACATTAACCTGTGTATAGACACATATCTATAAATATCTCTATATGTAACCATCTACATGTGTATTAAGCTAAACATAAGTTCATACTAATATATCCAATTCTAATCCATTACAACATGGATCATCCTAGCCTCTTCCTCTTGCTTATTGTTAACCTTTCACTCCAGCAGCAAGCAACCTGGCTCCTACCATCTGCCATCCATTTACTTAATTGTTCAATTCCAGTATATGTGCATAGTCATTTCAAGAATTGTTACCCCAAACCCCATGGGAAGCAACTTCATCGACTACAGTACAGTGCTTATGTCCAGTTCCTGTAGCCTTTCAGTCTTACAAACGCCACTCATTTCCAAAGTTACTTAGATCAGCACCTGATTCCCACACCCCCTTCAGTGAGGTCATTTCGTATATTTGTAATACATTTAGATTCCTTTATCACATTCTGTATTTCATCCTGGGATCCCTCCTAAATAATTTTTTAAACTTTGCATATATTAAGATTTACTCTTTGTGCTGTAAAGTGCTATATAGTTTAACATACTTAATGTCTTACCTTCACCATTATAGTGTCATACAGAATATATTCACTGAACTAAGAAATCCCTATGCTTCACCTGTTCAACTCTTTCCCCAACCCCTGGTAACCACTGATGTGTTTACTGTCTTCATTTTGCTTTTCTGGAATGTTATATAATTAGAATCATACAGTATGTGACTTTTTTCAGACTGGCTTCTTTAGTTAGAATCTAAGAATTTATCTATGTCTTTTCATGCCTTGGTATCTCATTTATTTTTATTATGGAATAATATTCCATTGTTTGGATGTACCACAGTTTGTTTATCCATTCGTCTATTGAAGGACATCTTGGTTCCTTCTAGTTTTTGGTCATTATGAAAAAAGCTGCTATAAATATTCATGTGCAGGTTTTTGTGTGAATATAAATTTTAAAATTAGTTAGGTAAATACCTAGGAGCATGATTTTTGGATCATATAGTAAAACTATGTTTAATTTTGTAAGAAACTGCCACTCTTTTTTTGTTTTTTAACAAAGCTCCCTATTTGTTTCCTTCAAAGCACAGATCGTTTATGTTTCTCTCGTGATTGTTTCTTTCACCAGACTATAAGCTCCATGAAGACAGGAGCTAAATATGTTTTGATCACTGATATAGCCCCAACATCTGGCCTAAGACCTTACACATAATAGGACATTAATAAATATTTACTTAATAAAATGAATTAATGGATAAACAAAGCATCAAGACTCAATAATTTATACTTGACCATATCCCTGTCTTAGGAATCCAAAATGTAACTCTTCCCTTGGCAGACAACCAGGATTGACACGAATATTCCATAATTGCTTAAGTTCTGTACAACACTAATCTCCATTCTCTCAATGCAGAATCCTTCCTCTTTCATGTTTATGAATTTTACATATTTGCTGTTAAAATTGATTCAGAACCAGATGATCAAGACTTCTATCAAGTTTCATGTGTCCCACACAATACGGGTATTCAACGTATGTGGTGAAAAAAAAGTACTGTTTTGCATAGTTTGATATTTTCCTGACAACACTTTTTAAATGATCAATCATTTTATATTTTGTTCCAACAATCTCCCTTGGACCATGTTGATTTTATAGCAGTATAAAGATGTCTGTCTATAGCCTTACAAAATTTTAAACAGCTTTCGCTCAGAACTTAAAAGGACATTTGTCCTTGTAGCTACAATTAACCACAAAAAAGATTTAAAACAAAAGCAAATTTAGAATATAACCAGTACTTTCAAAATGAGCTTAATGTGCCCTTCATCTTCATTTATAACACTTGCTTCTTCTTTGCTTCTAATAGAATAAGCAGTAGTTGTGCAAAGACATTTCAGAGGTTCCAAAAAACATATAAACCTCACAAGCTTGTGCTCTTTTGTGGTTTGCGATGTCACAGAGTGCCTTGTTGGAATGATTCACATAATGATCACACTCTGAATAGGAAACAAATTCAAAGTTCTGTACATTTTTACCAGATGTCATATTTCTTCATTTTTCAGGGTTATTAAATACGTTTTTTTCTACTCTGGTGAATGGATCTATTTGGATACCAGCTTTCAAACACTACGTATTTTGAGAGAGGACCCCAGCAGTACTCCAAGACTCCTTATCTGGTCAAGAGGTGCCTCAAATATCACAGAATTAACAAAAGGACTTCCAAAGCTAAGTGAAGTGTCAACACACTTGAGAGCTATTAAAAATGCAGAGACTGTAGTTTGTTGGAATAAACTAGACAAGGAACCCAATTGAAAAGTACTTTGGAGACATTTTAGCTTTAAGCACTTTGTTTTGATGATTCGGAAAGACTTGGAAGGCAATGTAACTAATATTCATTAGGGTATTATGTGGGTTATTCCTCACATTTGAAGGTGGAGCCAACAGTCCAGTAGATTTTCATAGAGATTTCCAGAATTTGGATAAGATATTTACCAATTAACATACACAGGGACAGACTTCGTAACAAGCCCTCACATTTTTTCACATTCCCACTCATACTGTCTGTCTCAAACTCACGAGCTCCTTGCAGCTCCCTGGTAGTGTCTGGGGTTAATGCTGCTTTACTGTCATGCACACTCTCCTCCATGCATTGTGTTTTTCTAGTCTCCACCTCACCTGCCTTCCCAGACCAGCTCCCCAGAAACCTGCTTCGCCAAGATCTTTCCAGAAATACAATACTCCCTCCCTCACCACAGACACTGATAAAAACTTCCCTCATGCTGATCATGTATTTCTGTAGTTGCAGTTACCTATCAAACTGATATTAATTTTTTTTTCTTTTGGGCAGCTGGCCAGTTTGGGGATCTGAACCCTTGACCTTGATGTTGTGAAATTAATTTTTCACTGTGGGCCTGTCATAGGGCCTGGCTTACAGTAAACACTCGGAAAATGTCCATTGGCCCTCAACACCCGTGTGGGTCGATAACCACAGGTGGGAAGTAGAGGATGACTTAGTCCACTTCCTGCTCTGAGGGAACTTTTAAACTCCTGAAAGTAGAAAAATTACACAAGAAACAAAGTAAAAGTCTCAGGATTGCCTCTCGAAGAGAACACGAAATATCCACAGTTTAGTCACATGTGCATATTCACATCCTTTCAGGAGTATATGTGATTTTAGGAATACTAAATAGAAATAGAGAATAGGATCATAATTTCAGCTGGTAACTATTTAGCTCTTTTCCCCGCTGACATTCATTCACACAGGGAAATGTACAGGGTTGAGGTCTATGAAGTCTCCCTGGTTCTGCAATACCCTCTTTCCTCTAAGAGCACTCTTGTCTATTTATAGTGACATATCCAGGTGCAAAGCACAAAGAAATCTTACTGTTTATACCCAGGCTCATGCTGTCCTGCTCTAAAAGAAAACCAGCTGCATGTGGACTCATCCAGTTGTTTTTTCCAGTAACTGCCAGAGTACGTCGTCGCAGAAGAATCCGACCATTGGGTCTCCTTCCTCCACGATGCTCCTGCCTTGTGTCTGATCAGATCAGACTCTTGAGAAGTAAGAGGGCTAAAGGGCAGAAGAATTTGTGGAGTCAAGTAGAAGCGTGACATAGCTATGGATGGCCCTCTCTGAATGACAACTTTTCAAGCCCTCTGCATAATGAAAATTAATTTCCTTTCAGTAACAGGAAGCAATTGACCGGGCTCACCAAACGTAGTTAACTCCCACAGTTCACAGAGTGCACAAGCTTAACTGTCTTAGATATAGTTGCCAAGCAACAGATCACAAAATTCCACAAATGCTATCCCCCATCACCCCAAATTTTAACTAACAAATGTTTAAATTATATCACTTTCTGGCCTTTGCTCTAAGAAATATACTGGTTCATAATTATGGCAAGAAAGCAGGTGCAAAATTATTTGTAATATTACTGCTAGCATAAATAAAGCAGTGAATCCCAATGATGGTGGTTTAAGAAGTGGGAGTAAGGGATAAAAAGACAGTGCCAAAGCGTTCATTTCCCCTAAAGACCTAGCCTCCAAGTGTCTGAAAGAGAACATGAACTGTTGTGATGTCAACAACAGCAGGTGACTCATAGCTTCTCATATGTCATAGAGCAATGGTGCTCGGGCTGGCTGCACACCGGAGCCACCCTGAGAGCTGTCAAAATAAACAGACAACCAGGCCCCAACCACATAGATGTTTTATTGGTCTGGAGTAGGTTCCAGGCATCGGCATTTTTTAACAGCTTAATCCTGGATGATTCTAAAGAGCAGCCAGGATTAAGAATGAAGGTCATGAAAATGCCATGGTGAATCTTTTGTATGTTGAGAAGTCATAGCAATCAATTTTCTATTCACCTGGTTCCCTCCATCCTTCACTAATAATTATTCTAACTCTGGCTGATATGTTTGCCCATGCTTACTTCTCCAGATTAACAAACAATTCATTGGCAAATCAAAATGAAATCCATCTTTCAACACTGATCCTTTCTTTATCAACTCTTGGAGCAGTAGTTCTCCACCTTCAGTGCTCATTCAAGTAACCTCTAGGATTCTTTATAAACACAGATGCCATGCCCCCCTCCCTTAGAGGTATTGATCAGCACCTGTGCAAGTGGAACCATCATCAGTGTTGACAAAGGATCTCCATAGGTGATTTGATCAGCACTGATGGGGCACTTACTTACCCATGCAGAGCTCTCAGCCCTACCTTCAGAGACTGTACGTCTGAAGCAAAGCCCAAGAATCTACTTTTCTATATTTTTATGTTTTTCTGATGCAATTGATCTTCAAATATAGGGGATGCTCCTCCAGGCGTTGAAAGAAAAGTCTTTTAAAGTGAGGTTGACACATTATGTGATATGTTTCTCTGAGAATGAAATTATTTGCAAATACTTGTCAGTATGTTACATGAGGGGTTTCTTTCTTTAAAATGTAGAAATTTGGAATATAAGCACATTTTTCCTGGGAAAAGGATTAGGCTGACAATTGCAGACTCAGCTGCTTTTTCTCGTGGAGTTGAAGACTTCTTGGAGAAATCCAGATGCAATAAAAAGAAGGTAGAGATAAGGAATGGAGAGACGCATATGGTCTGACTTCCATGTTGGAGGATCTCCACTAAAAACTTCCTTTGGTAACTGAATTAGGGCAAGCTGTGTGTTCAGTCCCTTATACGTTAAATGTGACCCAAAAAACCAAGAGCAATGTGACAATGAACTCTGAATTTTGAGTGCGATTTAGGGAAAATAGCTTACTAAATGACCTCCTAACCAATAACACCAGCAGGGGCCGTGCATGTCATATGATGTGAGGGAGCCTTTGGTGGGCAGGCCTTGATCAGGCTGCTCTCCAAACACCAGCTGATTATTCTAGTGAGGTATCAATGGGTATTAATTAATAGGGTTTTATGGTTAAGTAAGTTTAGGACAAGTTGGGATAAAGATATTTCTCTTCTGTAGGCCTTCTCAGAGCCTTTATTTCAATGTGCCTTGTGCATCTTTCAAAGGGGCCTAGATAGTGCAGCATTACCTAAACTTATTTGACCACAAAACTCCTTTTGTGTGGAGCATCTCTTGGGATTGCTAGTCTATGGAACTGTCTGGGAGCTGAAAATACTAGAAGTCTCTATAGCTAAGACAATGGCTGGTCTACAGTCTCTGAAATTTACTAGATCTTGACAAGATCGCCAGCCTAAAGCACTGACTGTCTGGCAATAGAGTGGAACATGCAGTATTTTGTTTAAAAATTGAAAGAGAACATCAAACACTAGAGTACACACATATACTTTACATACATACATGCTTATGTAACTTCAACCCATATCTAGCACTCTAGAAGGCTCTTCCATGTAACCAGTCAAAACAGCACACACAACACACACACACACACACACACACACAACACACACACACACACACACACACACACACGAGTGACCACTATTTTTATTTCTATCAGCATAGATAGATAAGTCGGGCTATATACTGTGAAGACAGATGCTTACTAGTGCCATTGCAAAATGAAACCCAAAAGGAAATCAAGTAATGTAAAGACCAGAGAAGGCAGAATTCCCTCGGGAAAAAAGACCCCATATAAAACTGAAGCTTTCATCTCAGCAAGAATCTGTCTCCTTCCCATACAGTGCCAAATTTGGATATTTGGATGAGTGTGGATAACATCTGAATGAGTACACATAATAATGTTGTAGTTAATAACTGTTTTATTCTGTCAGTTATAGAAATATTATTTCTCAGTCCTTGATCTTGGAATAATTTCCTCATGCTTACCAACTGTGTGATTTGGAAATTTTTAGTGACTTATCAAAAACTGTATTGTAGGGGCCGGCCCGGTGGCGCACTGGATAAGTGCGCCGCTTGGGAAGCGCGGCGGCGCTCCCGCCCAAGGGTTCGGATCCCACATACAGACTGGTTCCCGCTCACTGGCTGAGCGAGGCGCGGGAGCAACACCGAGGGTTGCAATCCCGTTGCCGGTCCCCGGTCCGGTACGGGGGCAACACTGAGGGTTGCGATCCGTTGCCGGACACGGAAAAAGACAAAAGACAAAAAAAAAAAAAAAACTGTATTGTAGAAGATCTAAAAGACTCAGGAAGTAAGAAACCAGTTGCAACAGGACTGGATGGAAATAAAAGAAGGGGAAACTGCAAAGGAGCAGGAAAATGAAATTGATAAAAATTAGTGAAGAAAATCCTAAAAGGAAGGATCTTTTCTCTTTGCTTTCCTAAAATTTATTTTTCGTTATATTTACTATTTGTAAACTGGAACTGATTACAAACAGTGTGTACATTGTGATCCCAATTTTGTTTAATAAAAAGTATATGTATGTATATATATTTAGAAGAAAAGGCCTAGAAGGCTATATACAAAATGTTAGTACTTATTATAGCTGAGTGGGAAGATACATGTGATTTTTATATTCTCCATTGTTTTCTTTATTTTCTAATCAGAGCCAAAATGTTATTTTACAAAAACTAAAACAAATTGAATGCACCCACATATAATCAATCACTCAAATCTTGCAAGGCATTTTTTGGGGGTTTGTGTTTACTTTTCCACTTCTCTCCAGGCCTTACAGAAACCTCTAAGGCCAAGAGATTGAAACCAATTCAATCAAATATGATACATCTTAAACTTTCTTTTCCTTTAGTTCTGTGTCCAATAATCAGAAGTAGGAGAAAATAAGGCATACAGCCCGAGAGAGAGAGAGAGAGAGAGAGAGAGAGAGAGAGAGAGAGAGAGAG